TTACAAGAATGGTCTTGATAAGGTGGATATAGAAAAGATATTTATTTTCGTGGGTTTGCCTGGAACTAGAAGCACAGTTTTAAATTATAGGGTCACTCTTTTAGGATGGATGGGTGGATGGAAATGTGGAATTCGGAACATAAAAATGACCTTAATGAATGGACGAGCAGGCTTGAAGAGCTAAATGTCTATTTCTACTCCTAATTCATATGCTAGAAAATGCAATAATATAAGCAGCACGCTGAACAATAGTCATTCAAGCACAAGTGTGAATTACATCACTTGTCAACATTCAGGTGACTCAATTAAGCAAAGTAAGAGGATTTTAAGAATGGAGATAAAACACTGCGTTTCAAAATGTGCAAATGTGCATCATGACTTGCCCATTTAAGAAAATTATTGTATGGAACAATGACAATTTCTTGAGGAAAGCAGAAAAAATGAACTGCACCAACAGACTTGTTAAGGCGTAAAGCTCTTCAAAAAAAAAAATCAACAAACTGCAGATAACAACTGCAACGTAACAATTCAGCTCCAAAGTTAAGCTTTTAGCATCAGTCGTTTTATGTTTCTGTCAGACTTAAATACTAATTGAATAACACTATGCTGGTGATATGCCCATTTGAGCAAAGCATAACATTCAGCCATCAATATTTCAGAGTCTGTGTTTCATTCACACATATTAAGAATGTATTTCACTTCTAAAATGCTTTATGTCCCTGAAAATTTCTCTCCATTGGAACAAATTTTTATAATGATTGTGTTGTGATATTCTAGTTAATTTTCTTAGTGTTTGAACTTCAAACATTGCCCCGATTTGTCCCTCATGCTAAAAATAAAGACTTAGCACCTAAAGAAAAGAAAGCAGATATAGAAAATCGGCAATTAAAATCCATGTGCAGGGAAGTTTGTAATCCAAGTTATCATTGATGTGTCTTTTGTAATATCACAATATGGTAATTACTATGGAGGAGGTAGCTATCATTGTGACATGGGAATACTAATATGATAAAAGCTGAAAGAACTGCGGATGTTGTAAATCAGGAACAAAAACAGAGGCTGCTGGAAAAGCTCAGCAGGTCTGGCAGCATCTATGAAAAAAATTAGAGAACTAAGGGTCACCAGACTCAAAACATTAATACTAATATGATTCCTGTTTTGGGAATTAAGACAATGGGAGCATTGAAATCCAGTGTCTTTTCATGGGTACTTCACTGAAGTGGATGTCATTAACAGAACATGATGTGGATATCATGAGAAACATGTTATTGATGTGGTCATTAGGATATAGCTAATGGGTTGTGGGTGTGACTGCTGTGGGAATGTGAATGGTACAATGAGAATGTTTCAATTATAAGTGTGTGTGATGTCATTGTTACTGAAGTGGTTATCAATAATGTGGGTGTTGACGTTTTGAGTTCCTATAGCTTTCAGAAATATGCTGGTGGAAATACAGCTCCTGCTGGGTTAACTGAAGTCTGGCCAAAGGCTGCGGCTGTGAAATTCAGTTTGGTGGCAGTCAGTTTTTCACACTACTGAGTGCTTTTTAACATCTGAAACACTGCCTGCAACACGAGCACCATTTCAGTGAGTGTTTCATTCTGCATGCCTATTAGTCTTCTTCTGCAGGCTACGCCATTGAAATCCTTGTCTAGATCATCTGGAGCCCATCAGGGTGCTAGAGCCTATGCTGTAACTGTCCCCTGCTCTAATAGCAGGTCACTCATGACTAGTGCATCAGAATGTGCACCACTAAGCTATCCTCTAAAATACATGCCAGTATCTGAGTAATGAATGCAGGTGTAAGAGCAAGTGATGGTGTTTCTTCCTCCTATCTTCCTGCTTCTCCACAACTGCTTTAGATGTAGTTCTTGTATATTTGAAAGGAAGAAGGCTCTGGTTCGGATTGTGGTAGAAGGCAAGTAGTGCAAACTTCCATGGTCTGTAGCTTATATATCGGAAGAGATTGTGGGATGATAGGAGAAGTGAGATGAAGGAGAGGGTCTCTGAATTAACAGGTTTAAAGGCACCATCATCTGTGTTGGGTTCAGACCCTCTGTTGGTTACAGTCTTTGTCATGGCAAGTACATCACCCAAATGGGGTAAGGACTTACAGATGTTCCTGTCCCTCATATATTGAGTGCTGCTTCCTCTGGATATGCGACACCTTATCCTGCAAGAAATAAGGAAGGGTCAGTGAGCATAGTGTATGAGTGACGTGGTTGTCATGGTTGACTATTTGTACAGTATGCAAGCAACTGCATGTGGATACAAGGCTTGCAGCAGTGCTAACTGTGTAAGGGTGAGATGTAGCAATGAATGTTAAGTTGGAGTTCAGATAGATAGAGATTGCTCATAGGTGAAAGATGGGGCTGTGATGCATTAAGCAATTAGTGATTCAGTTGGTGGATATGGCATTTGAAGCTATCCGATCTATTTTCCACTCCTGCGAGGTAATTGAACTTCTTTTCCGCTGCTGCATCCAGGTCCACAGGGCCTGAGTCCTCGCAACAGTCTTTCATCTATCTGGCCTGCACGCCTACTGAAAGGTGTCTGGAGGGCCTCCTCTGGTCAGATAACATCACTCCTCCTCTCCACTCCAGTTCCGCTTCAGAAAATCCTGGAGCCTGTTCTCTGCCGTGTTGTGCTATTCTTGTATCTTTCCCTGGTCAAATCCATGTTTAGAATGACTTTCAACACCTGTTTCAGTCAAAATGCACCTGCCCATTAAAAGGTGCAGACTGGTTTGAGGAATGCAGATTAGTTCGAACTCGATCTAGCCTTTCATGAATTTGCAAACCCTGCTCAGTTGTACAGCCACTAACTATCATATGTTACTCGTTACATGCTGTAATCATTGGAATTAGCAGACAGAATAAAGTGTGCCTGCTCCCTGTTTCAGAAGGTACAGGTGAGGGTTAACTGTGCATCATAATCTGATGAAGGGTCTAGGCCCGAAACGTCAGCCTTCCTGCTCCTATGATGCTGCTTGGCCTGCTGTGTTCATCCAGCTCTACACCTTGTTATATCATAATCCCTGCCCCTGTTTTCAGGTATTGTCCAATCTCATAACCTATACTTCCAATGTAACGCTTCCTCCGTGCAGTACATAAATGTAAGCACAGGTGACATGTTCAGGTTCTGGGGCTAATCTTCTGATTCAGACAGCAGAATATCTAAAGCGTATGAATAACATTTGTATCAATAACCAAGGTATAATAATGAGTATTAATCAGGATAATACGATGTATGCATTTCCACATTGGCAACACATTCAAACACTGACATGAAAAAAAACCATTACCACGGTGATTAGAAACACCGCTGACATGGGTACTGCAACACATTCATGAGTGTATTTGGTGTAAAAGCAGTATTTACTGACTTGGGTGGCACTTACGCAAGTCTGACGTTGGGTCGAATTGGATTGAAACATGGATTAAAATTGAGACAGAGAGTTGTAGTGGAAGGGAGTTTCTCAAAATGGAGATCTGTGACCCAGTGGTGTTCCACAGGGATTCGTGTTGGGACCACTGTTGTTTGTGATATACATAAATGATCTGCAGGAAGGTATAGATGGTCTGATTAGCAAGTTTACAGATGACACTAAGATTGGTGGAATAGCAGATAGTGAAGGGGACTGTCGGAGAATGCCGCAGAATACAGATAGATTGGAGAGTTGGGCGGAGAAATGGCAGATGGAGTTCAATCCAGGCAAATGTGAGGTGATGCATTTTGGAAGATCCAACTCAAGAGCGAACTATACGGTAAATGGAAAAGCCCTAGGGAAAATTTATGCACAGAGATCCGGGTGTTCAGGTCCATTGTACCCTGAAGGTGGCAACGCAGGTCGATAGCGTGGTCAAGAAGGCATACGGCATGCTTTCATTCATTGGATGGGGTATTGAGTACAAGAGTTGGCAGGTCATGTTACAGTTGTATAGGACTTTGGTTCGACCACATTTGGAATAATGCGTACAGTTCTGGTCGCCACATTACCAAAAGGATGTGGATGCTTTGGAGAGGGTGCAGAGGAGGTTCACCAGGATGTTGCCTGGTATGGAGGGCGCTAGCTATGAAGAGAGGTTGAGTAGATTAGGATTATTTACATGAGAAAGATGGAGGTTGAGGGGGGAACCTGATTGAGGTCTACAAAATCATGAGAGGTATAGACAGGGTGGATAGCAAGAAGCTTTTTCCCCCAGAGTGGGGGACTCGACTCAATTACTAGGAGTCACGATTTCAAGGTGAGAGGGGAAATGTTTACATGAATGGGCAGGGAGCAGAGGGATACAGATCCTTGGAAAATTAGCGACAGGTTTAGATAGAGGATCTGGATCGGTGCAGGGTTGGAGGGCTGAATGGCCTGTTCCTGTGCTGTAATTTTCTTTGTTCTTTGAAATATAATCAAGCTGTCACCACAGAAATGGGATGTGGTTCTTAAGTAACAGCACAGACCCTTTGAGCTGACTGATAGGGTTGTTTACGTACTTTAAGTTCTATGTATTACTATTTTATGATGCTAAGCTTATTATTGTGAACATTGCAATGTGGATAAGACTAACATAAGTATCTATGACGCAAGCCTCAGTAATATGGTTATTAATAGAAAAACAACAGCATTAATTGAATTAATATAAAATCTCATGAAATATATGTTTTTCTCCTATTGGGGTTTTACATGAAGTCTCAATAAATTCCCCCAAAACATCAGAAAATATTACATAAATAAATGCTGTAGCAGTTAATTATGTACAAATTCTACCGTTGAATGATCTTCTGATCAGTGCTACATAATGTAGGAAGCAACCTGAGCTAGATTTTCCATTCACTTATTGTAAAAAGAGGTCAACAATCTCATTTGCGAACGGTAGTCGGGGTTTTACACTTCTGCACTTACCTGCGTGAACATTGAGAGTAATAGCCAAAAATCCCAAGTAGTTTTCTTTATGTCAAGCCACTGAAAGCTATTTAAGTCTCATTAAACATTAAAGACTTGCCTGCAGTGATGCCGACGTAACCACCATGTAAACTGACTCTGGCAATCCAGGCAGTGGTTAACCTCCTTGTCCCCAAGCCATCGAGTTTCTGCACGGAGTTTTTGTTCAAATTCCAATGCATCAGTTTTTTGCCACAGGGCATCCTTATCTCTGAGAAATGAAAACAAATAAACAGTCTGCAAAATGTATTATGACCAAAGAAACATGTATATTGCTGATGTGGATTTCATTGGCTGTCTAGAAAGAATCTGTATCCTAGAACGCACAGATTTCACATTCTGGATGTTAATTTGAATCTGGAACCGAATTAAGCTGAAGAACATAGAACAGTACAGCACAGTACAGGCCTTTTGGCCCACGATGTTGTGCCGACCTATTATAAGGGCCAATATTGGTAATGTCATTAACCAGGGTAAGCAATCAATCAAATTGAGTTATTTTTACAGCCAACAAATCAGAAGATTAAATAGAATCACTGTTTTTATAAACTTTTAATTAAAATGTAATGATCATGCAGAGGTGCCAGTGTTGGACTGGGGTGAACAAGGTCAGAAATCACATGACACCAGGTTAGATTCCAACAGGTTTTTTGAAAACACAACCTTTCGGAACCTCACTCCTTCTTCAGGTGGTAGTGAGAGAGATAGTATCAGACACAGAATTTATAAGTAAAAGATCAAAAGGGTCACACTACTGATGAGGATATATAAAACAAACCTAAGATGCTGTTAAATCCTTAATCAGTTAGAAGGTTTTAATTGATTAATATGTATATGTTAATCCCCAAATTCCTTTCAAGTCACGGTCCTGAGAGAACTGAAGGATTTATCAGTGTAAAGAAGTAGTCAGACAATGCATGTTTAGGTGTGAGGCCTTGTTTAGAATCTGTGTTTTGGTTTGGAGTCAGACTGGTTTTATTTCTAAAGAAGGAATTTATAAAATGCCACATTAACTGACTGTCTATAAATTGTATGCTTTTTGAACAAAATAGAATGTATCTGCAAACACAAATTCATGCCATAGATTTATGTGTGCGCGCGCGTGCGTGTGAGACAAAGAGAGCGAGACATAGGTTCTTAGTTACTTGAACGTGGAGGCGCAGGTAGACAGGATAGTGAAGACAGCATTTCGTTTGCTTCCCTATATTGGTCAGTACATTGAGTATAGGAGTTGGGAGGTCATGTTGTGGCTGTATAGGACATTGGTCAGGCCACTTTTGGAATACTGTGTTCAATTCAGGTCTCCCTGCTATAGGAAAGATGTTGTTAAACTTGAAAGGATTCACAAAAGATTTGCAAGGATGTTGCCGGGGTTAGAGGGTTGGAGCTACAGGGAGAGGCTGAACAGGCTGAGGCTATATTCCCTGGAGTACCAGAGGCTGAAGGGTGACTTTTATAGAGGTTTATAAGATCATGAGAGGCATGGATAGGGTCTTTTTCCCAGGCTGGGAAGTCCAAAACTGAAAGACACAGGTGTAAGGCGAGAGGGGAAAGATTTAAAAGAGACCTAAAGGGCAACTTTTCACACAGAGGGTGGTGTGTGTATGGAATGAGCTGCCAGAGGAAATAGTGGAGGCTGGTAAAATTACAACATTTAAAAGGCATCTGGATGAGTACACGAATAGGAAGGGTTTAGTGGGATACGGTCCAAATGCTGGGAAATGGGACTAGATTTATTTAGGTTATCTGGTCAGCATGGATGAGTTGGACTGAAGGGTCTGTTTTCATGTTGTACAACTCTATGACCCTAGACTCACAAACCATGGAAACATCTTCCCTTCATCTACCCTGTCAACCTCTCATTTTATGAAACTCGAGAGAATACAGGCCCAGTTTGTCCTGCCATGACTTTACTGCTGCTGAGCTTCTGGAGATTTCTTCATAGAGCCATAGAGTAATAAAGCATGGAAATAGGCTCTTCAGCCCAAACTGGTTCACGGTGCACACTCAACCAGCTCCAAATGCCCACATTTGATCCATATCCCTCTAAACCCTTCCCATCCATGTATCTATTCAAGTGTTTTTTTAAATGTTGCTATTGTACCTGCCTCGACCACTTTCTCTGGCAGCCCATTCCATAAATGCACCACTCTCTCCGTGAAGAAGTTGCCCCTCAAGTCCTTCTTAAATCTATCCCCCCTCACCTTAAACCTATGCCCTCTAGTTTTCAATTCCCCATCCCTGGGAAGGAGACCACATACATTCATCTTATCTATGCCCCTCATGATTTTATACACCTCAATAAGGTCAACCCTCATTCTCCTACATTCCAAGGAATAAAGTCCTGGCAAACCTCTCTCTACAACTCAGGCCTACTAGTCCTGGCAACATCCTCACAAATCTTCTTTGCACATTCTCCAGTCTAAATATGTCTTCTTTCCTATAACTGGGTGACCAAATGGTACACAATACTTCAAGTGCGGCCTCACCAACGACTTATACAACTGTAACAAAACGTCCCAACTCCCACACTCAATGCCTCAACTGATGAAGGCCAGCATGCTAAATGCATTCTTCACCATCCTGTCCACCTGTGACACCGCTTTCAACGAACTATGTACTTGTACTCCTAGGTCCTTCTGTTCCACAACACCCCTCAGGACCCTATCATTTACTGTATAAGTCCTACCTTGGTTTGACTTTCCAAAGTGCAACACCTCACACTTATCTGTATTGAATTGCATTTGCCAATCCTCAGCCCATTTCCACATCTGATCAAGATTCCACTGTTAATTTTTGATAACCTTCCTCACTATCAATGATACCTCCTACTCTTGTATCATCAAACTTACTAATCATGCCTTGTACATTCACATCCAGATCATTTATGTAAATAACAAACAACAAATGTCCCAGCACTGACCCCTGTGGCACACCACTAGTCATAGGCCTCCAGTCTGAGAAACAACATTCAAGCATCACTCTCTGCTTCCTACCATCGAGCCAATTTTGAATCTAATTAGTTAGGTCTCCCTGGATCCCACGCAACTTCTAACCTTCATGACTAGCCTGCCACACAGGACTTTGTCAAAGGCCTTACTAAAGTCCATATAGACAACATCCACTGCCCTACCCTCATCTATCCTCTCAGTTACCTCTTTGGAAGACTTTAAAAGAATTGTCAGACATGATTTCACACGTACAAATCCACGCTGACTATCCAAATGTTGGTTGATCCTGTCCTTCAGTATCCTCCCCAATAACTTGCCTACCTCTGATATCAGGCTCACCAGCCTGTAGTTCACTGGATTGTCTTTGCGAACTTCCTTAAACAATGGAACAACACTAGCCACTGGTGAAGTTCTGGAAGACTGGAGGGTGGCTAAAGGTGAAGCAAAAATCACTGCAGGGGCCTCTGCAATTTCTTCCCTAGCCTCCCACAATGTTTGAGGATGGACTTGGTCTGGCCCAGGGGATTTATCCACCTTAAATCGATCTAAGACTACAAACATCTGCTCTCTGGTAATTTGTACGTGGTCCAAAATATCCCTACTTGTTTCCCTTATTTCCTTAGCATCCATGATTCTCTCCTCAGTAAACACGGAGGAGAAATGTTCATTAAAAATCTGCCCCATCTCCTGTGGCTCCATACAGATGACCACGCTGATCTTTAAGGGGATCTATTCTCTCCCTAGCCACCTTTTTACTCTTAATATAGCTATAGAACCTCTTGGGATTATCTTTAACCTTAACTGCCAGATCCATCTCATACCCCCTTTTTGCTCTTCTGATTTCCCTCTTAAGTGTGTTCCTACACTTTTTATAGTCATCTAGGGATTCACTTAAGCCTGATAGCTTAAACCCAATGTATGCCTTCCTCTTTTTCCTGACCAGAACCTCAATATCTCTCGTCAGCCACGGATCCCTAAACCTGCCAGCTTTTCCCTTCACCGTAATAGAGACATACTGTCCCTGGACTCTTGACATCACACTTTTAAAAGCCTCCCATTTGCCAGTCATTCCTTTTCCTTCAAACAGACTCACCCAGTCGACCTCTGCTAGATCCTGCCTAATGGCCCCAAAATTGGCCCTGTTCCAGTTCAGCACCTTAACCCGTGGACCTGTCCTGTCTTTTTCATAACTATATGAAAACTAAGAGAGTCATAGTCACTGGACACAAAGTGCTCTCCGATTGACACTTCAGTCACTTGACTGACCTAGTTTCCTAAGAGCAGGTCCAATGTTGCAGCCTTCCTTCAATTTAGTGTCAGGTTCAAACTGAGTCAGGAAAGAGGAAATCTATACAGCAGGAATCACAAGATTTTTGCGGGCCGTTTACCTTGAAGTCAGCTTTGAGCCACATTGCTGATTGTAAAATCAAGCCCAAGGTAGAATAGTGCTAATTTATACTAGAATGCAATCTTGAAAATTATAAACATCAATTGCTTATAGGGAACTGGTAATAATTGTTCTGATTAGAAAAAAAAACTAAGGGCAGATTTCAGAATGTAGTATCCTAGATATGCTGCTCCTTTCAATGAAAAGCAGTAAATCCTAATCCTAAATTGAATGAAATGTATATCAATGAAGTAAATAATCAAAGATTGTTAGACCTAAAGTACCTTATAAAAACATTTGAAATAATATTTAACTATTGGAAAAGAAAGATTTATTGATTGTTGCATCATACTTAATAAGTTCGATTAAGCGCTCTTCCAAAAACTCTTTAGTTCTGTTCATGTCAGCTAATTCAGCCACAAGTTTTTGTTCATTTCTCTCAGTCTCTTCTTGGGTCTTCTCGAGGTGTTGTTTATAATCTTCAAGCTCCTTTTTTACATCTTCCAATTCCTGCTGAGTACTATTGAAAAAAATATGTTTCAGTAACTTACCAGCAAACTGCAGCCATCGGTAACTCTATGAAGCCTGAGGACATCCAATGTATTAAACAACATTCAAATCCAAAAGCAATTTCATCGGCGTTTACTCACCACTAAAGTTATTAAATACAAAGTATACTCTAGTAAAAGTATTGTGCATAATGCCATAACTCCTCAGGCTATAAGTTTACTAGCTGTCCCCAAAGAACAAATGCAAGCTTTCTTTTTGTAGGCATCATGAATTGATTTCATTAAATGATTTTCCTTGCTCTACCTGTGCCTTCTTCTAAAGCCCTTTTTTTTAAGGCTTCTCTCTTTGACCAACCTTTTAATTATTTATCCATAACATCTCCATTTGTGACTCAATATTAAGTTTGAGAACATTCCTGTGAGAGTTGTGGGTAACATGGTGCAGTGATACGGAGATGAAAGTAAAAAGGCTTTCATTCAGATAGAGACAACACAGTATGGAGCTGGAGGAACACAGCAGCCCAGTCAGCATCAGAGGAGCAGGAAAGTCGATGTTTCGGGTCAGGACCTTCTGAAGGAGGGTCCCAACTCGAAACATCAGCTTTCCTGTTCCTCTGATGCTGCCTGGCCTGCTGTGTTCCTCCAGATCCATACTATGTTATCTCAGACTCCAGCATCTGCAGTTCTTGCTATCTCCAAGATCATTAGGATTGTACCTTTCAAAATCTCAAGGTGTCTCAAAGAGCTTTACAGTCAATTACAGTGAATTATAGTCACTATTTTGCTGTAGGAAATAAGGCAGCCAATTTGAACACATCAAAGTTTCACAAACCACAATGTGATAATATCCAGGACATTTGTTTAAGCAACATTGATTACCTCATATACTTACTTACCTCTTAATGAATAAAAGGCAATACTTGGCCCATGTGATCTCCTGGCCTGGTTTAGATCACCTGAGGTGGGTCAGAGGGTAATTTTACAGTGTATCTTTTCTATAATTGGCCCTGTTTTATTTTATCTCTCAGGACATTACACAACTGTGAGAGTAGTTACAAGTTTGGGAAAGTGGATGAAAGGGAAAATGAGTTTGGCAAGGAAATGTGTGTATAACTTTTTTACAATTCATTCAGCCATCAAGGTGTGGGGCAGTAATGACCAAATGACTCACTATTTTCATATTGTCCTATAAATAATGGCCAATTTACTGGGCACATCTCCACTTCTCTTCCTTAAACAGTGTTTTATGATCTTCAGAGTGTGGATGAGGCCTCGATCTAACATTTCATTCCAGAGACATTGCTTCCAACAGTGCAGCAGTCCCTCAGTGCTACACTGAGGTACCTACGTCAATTATATGTTCAAGTCTTTGGAGACAGGCTGGCTCCAATGATTTTGATGGATAACAGCACTACTGCTGGGACAAGCCTAACACCTTTTAAAGAAACTGGTTGGGATAATTAGCATAGAAACACAAGGTTTGGACAGAGCCAAAGACCTTGAGAACACAAAAAGACCATTAGGTTCATCCACTGTGTTTCGGTTCTTTGCTTGAGCAACCTAACATGAACTCTGGCACCTTGATCCCACTTCCAACCCCAGCTCAATATATTTTTCCACTTGAGAATTTAATCCACTTTTCCTTCACAAGATGCAATGAGGTCAGCCTCAAATGGTCCCTTAGACAAAGGATTTTTGTTCTAACAATGTCCTACAAAAAAAGACACTCTGATTAAGCGCTCACCTCACTTTCTTCATGACGTTGCTAAAATGCTGATTTATTTTGACTTATCACTAACTTGTCATTTTTGAGAGAGGATTTCCTCTCCCCCCACTATTCACTAAATTAAAGTTGTTTTTACTCGGATGGCATGAGATTTATATAGAAATCATAGTATTTGTTTGTAAATATAATTATAAGCTGATGAGAAAAGGAAATAATAGGCTATTGAAATATCCAAAATATTATATAAAAAATTAACAACTGCCTAAATGAGCTGATCTTTTTGTGTTTGCCGAGGAGACTATTTTTAAAATTCATTCAGGAAATATAGGTTTCGCTGGCTGGTCTAACATCTATTGCCCCTCCTGAACTGCCCTTCATGAAGTGATGATGAGCTGCCTTCTTGATCCGCTCTTCTTCACTTGGTCTAGGTAAACTCACAACACTGTTAGGGAGGGAGCTCCAGGATTTTGGCCCAGCGACAATTCTCATGCATCTGCTGTCCTTGTCTTTTCTGATGGCAGTGGTCATGGGTTTGGAAGATGCTTTCTAAGGAGCCGAAATGAATTTCTGCAGTGCATCTTGTATATGGTATACTCAGATGCTACATGGATGGAGTGATTGGTTGTGGATGTAGTACTAGTCACGTGGGCTGATTTGTCCTGGGTTGTGTCAAGATTTCCAAGTGATGAAGAATTGAATTCACCTAGACAAAGTCACCTCCTGATTTTGTCTTATAGATGGTGGACAAGCTTTGAGGAGTCAGAAGGTGAGCTGCTTGCTGCAGAATTCCCAGCCTCTGACCTGCTATTGTAGCCACAGTATTTAATATGACTGGTCCAGTTCGGTTGCTGGTCAATGGTAAATAGGGCCAAGTCTTCCATCATGAAAGCTGAACTCCTACTGGGTAGTAAGGCACTCATGGAGTCAACATGAATTTATGAACACCCTTGCTGAAGAATTTTATTGAAATTGGAGGGTGTTACAGATCTTAAGGAACAAAGAAATTCTATGGATGGAACATATTTAGATTTCAGCAAGTTGTGTGGCATCAAGCAAATGATTAAACTATACAAATTTTATTTTTGATGCTGGATAGTTTTTATATGTTCAGCTTCACTAATTGCCCCTGCAATCAGATCTTATCTCCTACAGTATGCCTGATATTTAGTAAAACAATAGCGATGCCTGGGGATCTTAACAATAAAATATTAGATGCAACTAAGCATTGGATGCTATGATCTGATACATCAGCCTCGTGGACTTGCTTGTCTTTTTGACAGAAGGACTAAGACATCAGTTCCATCTCCCTAATAGGCTAACTCATTTCTAGATTAGTTTACCTTGAGGTAAATGGTACTATTGACTGGATAGAATGATATGCTCTGCTATGTTCATAGCTGTATCAGATTTGCCCATTGTACTGCCCTGTGAACAAAGCACCTCACAGTGTTACTAATTTCTCAAGGCTGGGGAAGGGACTACAAGGAAGAAAGTGTATCGCTGGCCCTATTTCTTGACATCAAAATCCCCATTTGAAGTGAGTCTTTACCATGTAAAGAAGATAAACATGTCAAACAAGGTATTACCTTTGTTTATACCGCAAGAGAACTGAGCACAAAGTTCCTGGCTTTCAGCATTACTAAGTAGTTTGGAGGAAGTTAAAAATTCAAATTGTTATTTTCCTCACAGTGTTAATCACAGATCAATCGACTGCTGCAAATAAACTAGCATACATATTCAAAACTCAGCAGTATTTAAAATTGCTATAAAGATAGAACATTAGACTGCATGACTTGCAGATGTCTCACGGCATCGCACGGAAAGAAATGGAGTAAACACTGTACATATCTTGAGGCAGAAAATAAAATGCTGCACCAATTACTGCCTCCAGTTTATGGTTTAATTACAATCATCTGCAACTAAGTTCCAGCAATCTTTACACAAAACACAAACCAGAAAGCAATGGATTAGACTGAGATTAACTTTCCTACCATGTTTTAAAGTCATACCTGATCAAGTTTTCTGAAAGGGACTTTAGCTTCTCCTCCTTTTCATTTCTCAATAACTGTGAATCCACAATTGTCTGTGCTTTTCGTTCCACTTCTTCCATTAATTTGCGATTGCGATCCTTTATGATAATGTATCAAAAAATAATTACAAATGTTAAGTAATGATGAAATGCAGGTATATTATCGAGATTTACCTCAATGAAAATCCTGAAAAACTCATTTCAATTTTTGAGCATTTGTACATTTTAGACTCACCTGAACTTCGAGGAGTTGTTTATCCATTGAGGTTATTTGGCTTTGTCGCTCAGTAAGATCCTTTTTCACAGCCTCCAATTCTTCAATAATGGTCTGTCAAAATTAAAGAATCGTTATCAAAATTTTGCATCACATCAATACTGGTGATGTTGCAATTGACTACTATTTCCAACTTAAAGTAATATCCCTTGATCAAGTGAATGCAATAATTACATTTATAATGAAACTTGATCCTAATTAGGAAATGACAAATTTCACTAATCCAATGGAAAATTCAGGAAAGCAATGCAAATCATTGGCAGAGATAGTAAGAACTGCAGATGCTGGAGTCAGAGATAACACAAGTGTTGAGCTGGAGGAGCACAGCAGGCCAGGCAGCATCAGAGGAGCAGGAAAGTTGATGTTTCGGGTCAGGAAAATCAATGGCATCTCATGCTAGAACAAATGACAGCTAACCTGAACAGGAATTACATGCAGATAGAGAGGTCACTAATGCACTGGCAAAATTATTAAATGGCAAGGTATTTAAAGTAGGGGAGGCTAAGAAAGGCTTTCCCCATGGTCGAGCAGAATAGACCAAATTAGCAGGCTGTTATCACTCATCACCAAACACATGGTTAACAGCAGTACAGAGGAAACTGTAAACTGGGTCTAATTACATTTAGTCAACCTGTTCAGACATGTTATAATAACAAGGGTGATTCAGTGGTTAGCACTCCTGCCTCAGTGCCAAGGACTTAGGTTTGATTCCAGTCTTTGGTGACTGTCTGCAGGGAATTTGCACTTTCTTCCCGTGTCTGCATGGGTTTCCTCCCACTGTCCAAACATTCAGTGGATTGGCCATGTCAAATTGTAGTGTGTAGGCTAGGCGGGTTAACTATAGTAAATATGGAGTTATGGAGATAGGGTGGGATGCTCTTCAGAAGATTGGTGCATACTCAGAGGCCACTCAGCCCATCACCTGCACTGTAGGGATTCTATGATCTCTGCAGCAGGCAAGACCTAAATGCAGGCCTTCTGGCCCAGAGGTAGGGTCAACACGACTGCACCACAAAACAGCCCTCAACGTTATCTTTGTAAGCTAAATATATAATGTACTTTACTGGTAACATGAAGTCCAGAAAAGAGGTGCTAAAAATAAAGCTTTCCCTTTTAAAACAAAGATAAATATGTCACTTTCAAAATTAATAAAAACAACAGAAATCGGAGGTCAAATATTCAATTAAAAATGATCAAAGCCAGGTAAATTACAGGTATTAGACAGAAACTCAGGGCTATAAAACCTGCTAAATTCAAAATTCTTCATTGCAATTAGTGATGTTCTTCACAGCTTAGTTTGTGTCTAAAACAGTATTAAAACATAATTAGAAGCTCTCTCTATTACATTACAACCATTACATCAGAATCCCTGGTTTTACAAAGACAGGACATAGTCATCACCTTTAATTTATTCTGATAATCCATCATCTCTCCACTCATCTGAAATTTGACTGCTGACAACTCTTCTCTCGCAGCTTCCTGGCAGTTCTTTGCTTGCTGTTGTGCTTGTGCTAGCTTTCTCTGCAATTCTATGATAGTTGCTTCTGACTCATTGGACCTCCTTAACTCCTCCAGCAGCTGTTCATTCTCACTCTTGAGTTTGGAAACATTAAGATTTAGTTGGTTTTGTTCTACTTTGACCTCCTCACAAAACGCTGTTTGTTGTTGAGAAACCATAATACATTTCTTCTCAGCGTCGGCTTTCTCTGCACTGAGTGTACAAATCTGCATACCAAGTTCCGCAAGTTCAGTGTTCGTCCTGTGGAGTAGATCTTTGCTCTCCATATTTTCAACATCTATCTTTTCAATATATTGTTTCAGCTGGGACAATTCTTCTTTAGCAGTCACAAGTTGTTCCTCAAGTTCAATTACCTGCTGCACTGATTTCTCCCTTTCTTTTTTAAGGGAATCTTCTTTTTCTTTAAACAGCAAGAGTTTCTCAGCATGATCATGATTAATTGATTGTATCTGTTCTTTTAGATTTTGAACCAAGGCTCTGTAGTCTTCCTTGGAGGATACTGCAAGGTTTAGATTACTGCATATATTTTCCTTTTCCTCAAGAGCATGTTTAAGCTTTAGTTTGAACTCTTCGCTCTCTGCCTGTAACCTCATTACTTCAGCCTGCTGAATTTCAAGCTGACTTTTAGTAGTAACTAACTTTGCATTTATTTCCTGCACTTCTTTCTCCTGAAGCTCTCTTGCCTGTAGTTGAGCTTCAACTATTGCATTTTTCTCAGCCATTAGGCTTTCTGAAAGCACCGTTTGCTGCTTAAAGTTACTCTCAAAAGTCAACTTTTCTCTCTCCAAAGCCTCTATCGCTACCTGACTTTCCTCAATCTTTTCCGATAACTCCTTTAATGTGCTAGCCTTTTCAAGCAAAGCACCTTCCTTCTTATCTAGAAGGGAAACAAGTGCATCTTCATTCTGCTTTGATTCGACCAATTTATTCTGCAGGTCTGAAATCAGTTCTTCCTTAGACTGGCAACATACTTGGAGGTTTAGTAAGCGGTCATTCAAAGTATTTTTTTCTACTTTCAGATCATCAAATTCCATCTGATTCTTTTCCAGCTTTGTTTCTGCTCTTTTAACCTGCCTGAGAGCATTTTGCAGTTTCTCATTCAACTGCCTGTTTTCTTCCCTTATCTTGGTTTCTTTTTCGTCCACTGTCACCATGGCATCTGCTATTTGGCCCTGCAATTGCATCTCTGATGCATTCAATCTATCTATCTCAGTTTCAAGAGTTAAACACGTCTTCTCCAATTCTTCCTCTCTTTCAACATGTTTCTGCACAATCTGTTGGTGTTTCTTGCTCTCAACTTGCAATTTCTGATATTCAACATTAAGGTCTTCTGTCCTAGTGTTCAACTTGGCTAGTATTTCCTCTAAACCTTGCAATTTTTTTGTAAGATCTTCTTTCTCACCCAAAAGCTTATTTTGAGTCTCCAGAAGATTCTGTGCCTTGTTATGAGCAGCAGATAATTCCAATTCTTTGGATTGCAGATGGTTGGAAAGATTGTTTACTTGTTTCTCTAAAGTGACCTTTAATTCTTCATATTTGATTTGCATTTCTTCTTGCTCTTTTCTCAATTCCTGAACTGACTTCTGCCCTGATTCAAGATCTGTAGGGTCCATTTCATGTACACTTTTAATTTCTCTCAATTTATTCAGGGTACTTTCTATCTCTTCATCTTTCTTTGCAAGCATAGCATTCTTCTCCTCAAGCTTTGAAGCTGCTTCTTTTAGCTTTAATTCAAGCTCATTTATTAGGGACTGTTTTGATTCTAAATCATTTGTTAACTTGTTCAGCTGAGACTGCTGTATATTGTTTAATCTCTGCAACCCAATTTCCTCCCACTCAGCGTCATTCAGCTTGTCAAGAAGCTCATGGATCTTCTGTGCTGAATCATAGTGGGTTGCTGTTAGTTGCCCTTTTTCAGTCAGAATAGCATCAATCCGTGCGAGCAGCTCTACATTCTTCTGTTCCGCTGCAATTAGCTTGGTCCGAAGCTCACTAACAATGCCAGCTTTTGTCTCCTCAGAAGCCTTGATCCTTTCCAGTTCTTGTGTTAATGACTGAAACTTTGCTGTGCAGTCTTCTAGCTCCAAAATCTTCTCCTGAAGCTCCTTCTGTTTTTCACTGGAACTGTCTTCAAATATCTGCAAAGATTTTTGAAATTCCTTAACCATAGCGTTAGCAAAAACAGAATCTGCAAAATCCCGATTTAATTCTTCCAACATCTGATTCAGCTTATGATTTACTTCCACGGTATGAGCAGTTGATTCCTTCCTAGCTTCTGCAGTTTGCTCATTCAAAGCTATTGTCCTCTGTAACCGCTCCTTCTCCAGTTCAATCTGCTGGATCTTCTCTTGCATCTCCCTCTGCTTTATATCAGACTGATCGAGTTCAGCACGTAACTCATCAAGGGTTTCCAGCTGCTCTGCGATCAACGGGTTGTTTATTTCTGAAGCCAATAAACAGTCTGGAGCCTACACAAAGATGGAATCTGAATATTAGTTATGTTATAGCAAACAACTTTAGTGTAACTTTACAACATAACTTACTTTTTCAGAAAACAGACCTCGAATCCAAATGAACAAATGGGCCCTAACCGGCTACGAGATGGTTATTAGCAACGTACAAATTATTTCCACCATTCCCCAATTTATCAACAGGTTCTCTGATAACCCTTAGGGAAAGAAATCAACCATCTGGCCTATATGTGCCTTCAGTCCCCCTTCATCATATTGTCTACTCAAGACGTAGGACATAAATGCAGCCAAATAGCAATACCACATTCTGAAAAATAAAACAGTTCAAACACTAGAGTTTGAATTTAAAAGAACGGAAGCTGGTCATATTGAAACATAAAACGTTGTGTGGGGGTTTGATTGGGTAGAAGTTGAAAAGGTGTTTCCAATGGGCAAATCTTCAGTAGGGGACATAGGTAAAGAATAATGGGACACTCATTTACAATGGAGGCTTGAAGGAATATCTTTTCCTGGAGGGTATTGAGTTCTGAAGTTCTCTACTCCAGAAGGCTGTGGAGGCTAGAAGATTGAAAGTATTTAAACAGAAGTTAGATAAATTTTTGAAATTTCATGGAGTTGAGGGCTATGAGGAATTGGCACAAAAGAAAAGTTGAGGCCTGCAGCTGATCAACCATGATCTCAGCGAATGGCTGGGCAGGCTTACAGGGCCAAATGGCCTACTCCTGCTACTATTTCTTATGAATGCACAAAGTGTGCTAACGTAGACATAAAATGTTAGAGCCTTACTTAAATTAACAAACACATGGTAGGTAATTGTAATGTTAGGAAAAATTGAAGATTGCCATCGGAGTAAGAGAAGATCACTAATAACACGACACAAAATAAGAAGGGTACTTATCAACTGTATTTAATTATCTCTGCAAAGTGTACATACCAGCCTATGATTCTGATACTCACTTGTGAATAGTTGCTGACCAAACTGCTTACACTTGAGCATCTACTTGGTGGTTTCCAAAGATGCGATGGAGAATGAGATAAACTGAACGACCTCCTTGAAAAGAAATACACGCACCAGTTTTATATTTACTGTTTGACTACTAGCTAAAATAATTACCCCCAGAATGTACAGTGCTTACACAGAGGCACCCAACTGTGCAGTGGACCCCAAAGGAAAGATCAGCATGTTTTCCCAGGACTTCTACTTCTCCATCCAAAGTTTACAGGTGAAGGGAACATTCCCTCTGTGTGGCACGTGAATGGTGAGGATCTGAGCCACTGCATTACATGCAGGTTCTAATCTGCTGTGTGACCTCCTGGGCTGTGCAAAGGTGGGTTAAGGTAGGGACACTCTACTCAGGCAAGTCAGTTACCTACCACAATCAATGCTTTTACCACACACCCCCACACCAACATCTTTTTAAAACTCACCCTCTTTTCTTTGGAGATTCAGATCCCAAATTTGGCATGAATTCCACCATCTCCATCACCAACTCAGAGACCCACTTCCACCATTCGGGATCAGCACACCTGGACTGTAGCAATGCCACCAAACTTGTGTGGGATCTCTCTGATAGCAAGGATGTGGGAACACCCAGCACTGTGAGGCCACAGCTGCCATTCAGGCATAGACTCCACTGTGTTACACAAGGCTAATGGTAATTCTGATTAATCCACGTCCCAACTTCCAGTGTAATTCCAGTAAAGTTACCACTACACTGCGCTAGAAGGCTCAGTCCCGATTTAGTTAATTAGTATATAAGTAAATGTGTGGCAAAGCTGAAGATAAAAATGGATGGTGAGATTCATGACATTATTTGTACAGTTGGTGAACTGGAAAACTTATTTCAGAATAAAGTTTAGAAAACCTCTGAGAAGAGACTTGATATGAAAAGAGGCAAAAATGTCAGTGTGAATATAATGCAATTGGAATTCTTATGAAAAAAAGTCTAGTATTTCACACAGAACCTATGTGCGCATATAACTACTTTACTAAACAAAGAAGACAGGCTACTCAATAAAGAAATTTTAAATATCGTCACTTTTAATTGCTCAACTCTTCCTCTGTTGAATCACTTGGCCATGTTTTAGTTACCTCCAGGTTTGAATATGATCTTCCTCTTAATAAATTTTCAGTTTCTCATAAATTTCATTTCCCCCAGTATTCTAACTTACACCAAGTTCCATTCACCTCTATTCGTCATCTCATGTTGGCTAGTGGTCCATTGATGCCTGATTTGAACATTCTCGATCTCGCATACAAACTTGTCCACTCTGCATGACTGACTAGGAATCTTTCAATCTATAATTACAATGTTTAAAAGACAGTTGCATAGACACAGGAATAAGAAAGTTTTGGAAGGATATGGGCCAGGAGCAGCCAGGTGGGACTAGTTTAGTTTGGGATTATGGTGGGCGTGGACAGATTGGACCGAAGGGTCTGTTTCCATGCTGTATGACTCTATGACTCTACAGTAGTTCTGCCTGAGCAGGCACACTGCTGCTTGCTGTTTCTGCAGTTTCCAGACAGCCTGCAGAGGGCACCATGCTAAGTACAAATGATTGAACGTTGCTGCTTAAAAGCATACAACTGTCTATGGAGATAGTAGGAACTGCCGATGCTGGAGAATCTGAGATAATAAGTTGTAGAGCTGGATGAACACAGCAGACCAAGCAGCATCAGAGGAGCTGGAAATCTGACGTTTCGGGTCTAGACCCTTCTTCAGAAATGGGGGAAGGGAAGGGGATTCTGAAATAAATAGGGAGAGAGGGGGAGGTGGATAGACGATGGATAAAGGAGAAGATAGGTGCACTTAGGCGCACTTCCTGCAGTTGCGGGGAAAAGTGCCGGGGGTGATGGGGCTGGTGGGGGGTGTGGAGCGGAAAAGGGAGTCACGCAAAGCAGATCTATCGCATTTGCCGCAACTCATCCCTCACACCCCTTCCCCACAATAACAACCAAAACAGAATCCCCCTCGTCCTTACGTACCACCCCACCAACCTCCGGATCCAAAGCATTATCGTCCGACACTTCCGCCATCTGCAATCTGACCCCTCTACCAAAGACAAAGACATTTTTCCCTCCCCACCCTTATCTGCTTTCCGGAGGGACCACTCCCTCCGTGACTCCCTTCTCCGCTCCACACTCCCCTCCAGCCCCACCACCCCCGGCACTTTTCCCTGCAACCGCAGGAAGTGCTACACCTGCCCCCACACCTCGCCCCTCACCCCCATCCCAGGCCCTAAGAAGACCTTCCACATCAAACAGATGTTCACCTGCACATCTGCTAATGTGGTATACTGTATCCGTTGTTCCCGTTGCGGCCTCCTCTATAAATCGGGGAAACCAAGCTGAGAATTGGGGACCGCTTTGTGGAACACTTATGCTCGGTTCGCAACAAACAACTGCACCTCCCAGTCGCGAACCATTTCAACTCCCCCTCCCATTCCTCAGACGACATGTCCATCCTGGGCCTCCTGCAGTGCCACAACGATGACACCCGAAGGTTGCAGGAACAGCAACTCATATTCCGCTTGGGAACCCTGCAGCCCAATGGTATCAATGTAGACTTCACAAGCTTCAAAATTTCCCCTCTCCCGACCGCATCCCAAAACCAGCCCAGCTTGTCCCCGCCTCCCTAACCTGTCCTCCCACCTATCTACTCCACCCACGTCAAGCCCCACCCCGCCTCCTCGACCTGTCTGTCCTCCCTGGACCGACCTATTCCCTCCCTAACTCCCCACCTACACTCACCTTTACTGGCTCCAACCCTGCCTCTTTGATCTGTCTGTCTCCACTCCACCTATCTTCTCCTTTATCCATCTTCTATCCGCCTCCTCCTCTCCCTATTTATTTCAGAATCCCCTTCCCCTCCCCCATTTCTGAAGAAGGTTTGAGACCCAAAACTTTCCTGCTCCTCTGATGCTGCTTGGCCTGTTGTGTTCATCCAGGTCTACACCTTGTTATCTCAAATGTCTATGGATTTGTTTTCTATTTGATTTGATTTGGATTCATTGCCATGTTTATAAGAATACAGTGAAAAGTGTTATTTTTGCGTATTATGCACAAAGTGTCGCCACACTCTGGTGTCATCTTGAAACACTGAATGTAATGCAAGATTTTACTGCAAAAGTTCATCTTTCTCTCTTCTTCTTCTTGTTCCTCCTCCGCTGCTCCTCCAGTTACTGCTTGACATCATCTGGAGGCTCTGAAATGGGTTCCTGGGTCTCAGTAGCAGGCTTTGGGGTCTCGCTTAGGGCCTCTGCTGCCGTCACCTCTGCATCTGAGCTGCAGTCTTGAGCCTGGGGATGCCTTGGTTCTGTCCCTCCTGTTCCCCATCTGACATTCTTCCAGAGTCTGCCGTCAGTCCACCGTATGTCCCTTTTGCTGACCCTGGGCCTACCTAAGGGCCTGGAGCCTCAGCTCAGTCTGCGAGTTTGGGCTGGGGTGATCAACTCAATTATAGTACAGCGCTACTACAGGGAACCATTGTGTAATGAACAGACAGCGCCTGTCATTCACTGCTGACCACTGAAGTCAGGCCATTAAATTTTTGCTGGTGCTGGACCAGCACTTGTCATCAAAACAGTTTAGCTCCAGTCGTGGGTGGTGTGGTGTGGCTAGATGGCACGAGAAAGAAGACAGAGCGTGACCAGCTGGGATAAGAAAGAAAGACACTATGCAAGAGACCACAACCACAACAGATATACAAAGAACACTTTCTAATGAACGCAGAATCATAATGCTACTCTATGGGTGGTATTTAATGTCCCCCTCCAAGGGGGACTGTGCTGCTTCCCTGCTTTCCACCCTGAATAAGTCATGTCAGGAAGACCCATTGATGTCTTTCTGTCCCAATGTTATTTATTACATCAATTCTTGCATTTTGAGGGAAAAAATGCATCACAGCATGCTCATTTGCTTTAAATTTCATTAGCTCATTTCACTGGTTTGTTTATGTTACAGCTCTCCTTCCCGTTTACTACTTTTCTGAATTTCATGATCCTACAAACCTTGAAATTATACCCTTGCTGCCTTAGTCAGGTTCATTAATATACATCAAAGACATTGTAGTCTGAATATCAACCCTTATGAAATATGACGGTATATTTCCCTCTAAGCTGAAAAGAAACCATTTGCCATTACTTCCTGGTTTCCGTTCCTTTACCAATTTCATATCCGCACTGCACTTGAAATCTCATGGTTATCAATTTCACTAACAAAGGATATATTGAAGTACTTTATCAAAAGCCTTTTGCAAGTCCAGGTGAATAGTGTCAACTGCACCATCCTCATCCACCCACTCCATCACATCATCAAGGAACTGAATCAAGTTCATTTACACAGGAAAATATCCATGAGCATTTCACATGAACTTGCTTTCTCATCCCTATTTATTAATAGCCCTATTGGCCTTACTAAACATTCTCCATCTACTTCCCTCAGTCGAGCCATATGCACATTTGTTCATTACATCGAAATGTTCGCAAAACACCACTCCAAATCAAGAAGTTCGATTTAATATGTGAATAATAGTTAACAGGAATAATTAAAAGTCACACTGCAAAAGCCCTAGTTTGTTATAAAGGTTGCCCCTCTCCCCCAACCCTACAAATCTGGTGGCTCCAGATTGGGAGGTGGAAGATTGCAAAGCCTCCATTGAGCACATCTCAGATGGCTCTGGTGGGCAACCTCAAGCGGTGGAAGGACCAGCTTGCAGATTGCTGCATCATGGCATAGGTCAGGGAAGATGTGTAGCGGAGTAGGCATTTTGTCACATCCCTTACATTTTTCGTGAAGCCAATACCATTCTCTTGAAATGACACATCAACACTCAATGCCTCTGTGGGAAAACAGAGTGCAAGAGGCTCTTCACGCGAGTGTGCTAGATAGTTTGGTCTCTCAATTGTGAAAGCTGCAGGCCAGAAACAACAGGGCAGAAACTGCTATGCCTTTTTCAAATAAAAAAAAAAAAAAAATCCCAACCCAAAATGTCAGCTTTCCTGCTCCTCTGGTGCTGCCTGGCTCGCTGTGTTCCTCCAGATCCACACTGT